ATCTCCGAAAAGGCCTATGAGACCCTGATGTAAAATAGACGACCTGAAGTGCCATTGTGTACATGACAGTTTTGTACAAAATGTCTCGAAGAGCAATAAATATCAAAGTTTAGAACCTAAAAACCAAAATGCTTATCTACTTCTTGATCTACGTCTATTCTTAGAATCCCCCCGTCTTTCCCTTGAATCATCTCTACGTTTTTTGTGCTCTTTTTCGCTATCTCTATGYCTGTCGCGTTTACGGTCWCGGCTCCGACTGCGGCTTCGTCGTCGCTCGGGGGTTCGGCTGTGTCTTCGGCGATCACGATCGCGACTTCGGCTTCGCTGTTTTTCACGATGATCTCGTCGATCGCTATCGCGCCTGCTCGATCGTTCACGACTTCGACTTCGTCGGGTACGCGAGTCACGATCGGTGCGAAATCGGTCTTTGGAGTCATGTCTTCGGCTGCGATCCATCGATTCTCTGTCKGATCTACCATTCCTTAAAAACATGAAAGAAGGGTTAAACTCACAATATAGATATCTCGTCGAGACTCTTTCATCTCCTGCCCTTGAAGCAGTTTTTTGTTCGCGTTTACTTTGGCTGTTTGACCAAATATGGCACAGCCTTAGAAAGCACAGCCTTGATAGACCACTTATGCGAGAATCGAATAATTTCCGAGGCATGGAACACAGGGAATAATCGCGGTTTCCACACCTATGTGTTTTTGGTGAACGTTAAACTGACTCAACCTTAAAAATAGTCAAAGTAACAAGGTAATTTTATTTAAGAACATTAAAGTTAATCAAATTAAATGTGAAAAAAATCAAAAGCTGCGCGAGTGGTCTACCCAAGAGAAATTCAGATCGGGAAAAAATCGAGATCAACCAATCAAATCACGCCATTTATTCCAATATAAATGGTCATAAATAGAATTCTCAACATTGAAAAGTTTTCCGTTATAATGGAGGATACTTAGAAATTGTTTTTTCTTTTCTTTCTCTTCTTTGAACAGGAATGATAATAATAAAGTTCCTGACCAGTTCTGATGAATGGAAAGTAMCCTATGATTCTATATCATCCTTACCGGTCTCTGCGATTTTCTTCCTCATTTGGCCAGCTTTCACTAGCATTTCTTTTGTGGTCATCACAAAGGTTTAATTCTTGTAATTTCCTTTCAATCTCTTTCTGTATTGGCACAGGAATACGAGGAAACARCGTACCATACCATTCTAACTTTAACATGAAACTACGCACTAGTTGGCCTATAGTCATTGGACATCCTGTACCTGCCTTGGGATCCAACTCCTGGAAATGAGAATAAGAGAAAAATGCGTGAGAATGGTGATATGAAGCCCAGCCAACACAAGCAAATTCTAATGTGCAACGACGCCATTTTGTACAGCAGAGCATGATGGTAGTTATAGTCCTCACATTTTATATAGCCTTAAAAAATCTCCGTAAAAAAGGAATGTTTTCTTCCTTTGTAGAATTTGCGCAGCTTTTCTTATTTATGCATAAAAAAGGCAAAAACATCTTAGATGGACTGCTTTTATRGACATCAAAAATGCGAGGACTACAACTCCCATCATGCCTTGCTGCACAAAATGACGTCACTGCATATTGTCTATAACTTTATGTCTGTCCATATGATCAAAATTAGCAAATTAACAGTTTTAACAAACAGTTTTCAATTTGGCAACYAAGTAACGATAGGTTGTGATTTGGTTTGTATGTAGCAATAAAAAATGTGTTTTTAGAATGTGATGTTGGATCTTCAATCACAACATTTCCAGAACTACCCTGCGAGCAGAGTGTATTTCCTTACCTCGGAAATACACTCTGCTCGCAGGGTATTCCAGAACAACTTGTTTGAGTAAAACATTCAATCATGAAACTGAAAATTTGCCAGTTTTGACCACCAACAAGATCAAATTAATCAAAAATGCTTGTGCAGACTGAGCTTGTAGTATTAACTGCCCAGATAGCATATCAAACACAAACATGAACCACTTTGCACATTGTAATCTGTCTTCATGATATCTAATGGAAATACTGGCCGAATATTGTTCTTTTTTAAATCATCTCTAGTGCAAAACTGGCAAAGAAAAAGAAATACATCCTGAAATCTCAAAAAAAAACAAGAGGATGTTGTTTAACCAGAGATCTAGTGCATAATTTAACCTCTATGCATGACGGTTCCTGGTCACAGAGGGGGCCAATGGTAGCTGGATCTCTTCCTGGAAATACACCAAAAATATCAACACAACACACTGAACTTGTATTGGCTAAAAATTAATTAAGTATTACTTACCGGCTAATGAGCCTACCAATGCCCCCTCTTAATTAACTATCACTGGCATCTAAATTCACCCAACACAAATATCTTTTCTTTTAAAACTTAAATTGTTACTTCAAACTTTTATCTTTTAAAAAAATGTGGATTTTTTGTTGTTGTTGTCTTTGTTGTTTTGTGTTGACAGTCAAGACAAGAATGTTTCTAAGACAAAACAGAAATGAAGTCTGTTTTTCAWTGCTTAGACTGAAAAAAATGACTAAATTTCTAACTGTAAAAGTTTAAACCTAGGATTCTTTCTCTATATAAAAAACACTATTTTTTTCGTGTSAAAATTGTAATTTTATAATAATAACTGTGTGCATGAATTTAAAAGAATAGACCTTTACCAGTATTAATTAYAATCCCTCTACTTGTCACTAACAATATTCAGATATATACAATACCTCTTCGTCTTCTAAATAAGCTTCATACCAATCCCACATGTCAGCAGGAGGTTGACAGTACCTGATACAAAAATAACAATGTCTCATCGGACTAAAATAATACATGATAGTAATACATGCAGCAACGTTTGCTGCAAATATTAGCATGGATCAAGGGTATGGTATTGTAAGATATTATATGTATTTCCCTTGGCTTTAGGGTGTTTAACGCTTTGATGTTCTACATTATTGAGATCAAAAGTCCACTTTCACTTTGAACCAAGACATGCATTTGATTTTCAGCAAAACACAGAGAGGTGCCACCTATATTACAGCGAAAACTGTTTTATTGTAACTTCAAAATTCAAAAGAAATCAGTAGGATTTGGGTTTTTCTGCTGCTTKGAATGGAGCTTACTGCAAACCAACCATTAGAAAAAAACGAACACGTCACAATGCAACAATCTTCACTTTAAATGCAATATTCATSAATATCTTTGTATGAAATTGCACCAAAATTGCACCAATCAACCAATAAACACTTTTGTATTTTATTTGCACAGTTTAGCATATGAATGCAGTGTTAAAGGGACTCTGTCAATGGCACGCATGTGCGAGTAAACTTGAAAACACTAGGCTAGTGTTTTCAAGTTT